CCTGATCCCTCTTAATTCCAGTGCCTTCCCTCTGTTAATCATTTCCTATTTATCTTGCTTGTAGCTTGTTTGTATATATTTGTTTGCATGTTGTCTCCCCTATTAGATTGTAATCTTTTTGAGAACAGGGTCTACTTTTGCCTCTTTTTGCCCAGCTCGTGGCATGGTGCCTGGCAAATAGTAGGCACTTAATAAGTATTTATTGATTGATTAACATACTTATGGATCTATACGCCATCTAAAAGTGCTGATCTTTTCAAATAATTTCTGTTGGAATATTTTGTACAAACAAATCTCTGGAAGAACTTTTACTAATCATAAATGAAACTCATTGACATGTTTCTGTTCAAGTGTGATTTTTTTTTCTGCACTGAGTACATGTTCTTCAGTAAAGTCCTGCTCTAGTACTTTGCTTTTGATGGAATCAGATGCTGCCTTCTTGGAAACAGATGAGCTGTCCTACTGATAAACCCTGTGGAGTTTTCATTTCTCATTTAGTAGCTACAGAATTACCCCATCATTTTCATCGAACCAGTTCTGATGTTTACAGGTATTCTGGCCCAGATGAGCAAATGTGGTGCTGTGCACCGAGTCTCTGAAAGATGTTCATTCCTCTTCCACTACACTACACTGACTGTGTGCCAACTCAGCTTTCCCTCCAAGTCACCAATAAGCTGTGCACACAGGGAGAAATGCTCTACCCTGTTAATGTTGAGTCTCCTGACAGTCAGCTTGAGTTTGAAGCCACCGCTTTTCCTGAATGTGAGGTTTATCTTGGAGAGGATGAGCAAGCTGACCTTTATTTGCCAGTCTTGTTTCACTTAGGGCTGCTAATTGAATACGGTACCTGTTGAGTTCTCTCACAAAGTGCAGATGAAGCTTAAAGAGATACAGGATCCTTCGCTCAGCAAGAAGGCAGAAGAGATTCAATTCTATGCTGACAGCAGTAATCCCAAGAGCTTCTATGATGCCCTGAAGACTGTTTATGGGCTTAAGACCTCTGGTGCATTTCAGCTGCTCAGTACTGATAGAGCCACACTGATCAGTGACAAGGACATCATCCTGGAGAGATGGGCTGAACATTTCTACAGTGTCCTTAATAGACTGTTATCAACCAACGCTGAAACCATTGGTCATATGCCTCAGGTTGTAGTCACTTCCTCGTTAGCCAAACATCCAACTAAAGAAGAGGTAACCAATGCCATCAAGCTCTACTCGAATGGCAAAGCACCTGGCACTGATTACATCCCAGCAGATACCTATAGAGGTCCATTGCTTTTACAGAAGCTGACTGAAATCTTCCAGATTATATGGCAAGAGAAAGTCATCCCCCAGGAGCTTCAGGATCCCTTCATCGTCCATTTCCATAAAAGAAAAGGAAACAGGTTGTCCTGTGACAGTCACAAAGGGGTCTCTCTCTTAGTCATTGCTGGCAGGATTCTTGCCAGAGCTCTCCTTAATAGGTTGGTCCTTCACCTGGAAAATGGTTATCTACCTGAGAGCCACTGTGGCTTCAGAAAGGGTCGAGGAACAGTTGATAATAGTGTTTGCTACCCCACTACTCCAGGAGAAATATGAGGAGCAGAACAGAGATCTGTATACAACATTTGTCAATCTGACAAAGGCTGTTGATACTGTCAGTTGTGAGGGCTTGTGGAAGATCATGGGAAAATTTGGTTGCCCAGAGAAGTTCATCATTATTGTATACCAGTTCCACATGCTTGCACAGGTTCTGGATTATGGATGATGTTCTCACATTTTCCCAGTCACCAGTGGAGTAAAGCAGGGTTGTATGCTTGCTCCCATGCTGTTCGGCATGGTGTTTTCTGAAATGTTGTCAGATACCTTCAATGAAGATGAAAACGGCATCAAGATCAGCTTCCAACTGATGATAAATTATTTAACTTGAAAAGGCTATAAGCCAAGACCAAAGTGGAGAGGGAGTTGGTGCATGACTTTTTGTTTGCAAATGACTGCACTCAGCCTCTGAGGCTGAGATGCAACAGAGTATGAATTCTTTGCCACCTATGCTAATTTTGACCCGCAAGCAATGCCATGAAAACAGAGTTCCTCTATCATCTAGTACCGCACCAACCATATAGAACTATTTACAACTGGAGAAATTTTAAGTGTTGTGGGTATTGACAGTATATTTTCTAGGAATGTCCACATAGGTGATAAGGATGATGCATGCATTGCCAGAGCTAGGTCAGGGTTTGGGAGGCTACAAAGGAAAGTGTGGGAGAGTAGAGTTATCAGGGTACATACTATATTGAAGGTCTACAGAGCCTTTGTTCTGACTATACTATTGTTGTCCTGTGAAACCTGAACAGTCTATCAGTGCCATGCCAGACAACTGAACTGCTTCCACTTCAGTTTTCTCAAGATCACCTGGCAAGATAAGATATCAGCTGTTGAGTTCCTCTGTAGAACTGAATGCCCAGCCATTCAAACTGTTATTGCAGAGAGCGCAGCTCTGATGGACTAGCCATGTATTTGAATGCCAGATATGTCCTTACTCAAAAGACTGTTTTATGAAGACCTTGCACAAGGTAAGCACTCAAATGGTGGTCAGAAGAAGTGGTATAAGGACATTCTCAAGATATCTTGGGAATGGGAAATGCCAGCACAGGACCGTCCAGCATGGCATGCCCACATCACCGAAGGTACTGTACTCCATGAGCAAAGCAGAACTGTAGAAGCACAGAAGAAATGTGAGCTGCACAAATCCACAACAACTTCCACTCTAAATGTGCTAACAAACCACTTGTGCCCTATCTATGGTAGTATCTTCTGAACTTGTGTTGGACTGAACAGCCACAGCCAACCACACTGTACCCTGACTTCAACATTGTGATGTCATTGGTCTTCAAAAATAAAGGACCAACAACAACAACTCCAATACTTCAACATAGCATGGAAGTAAACATGGATTTTTAAAGGTTATGCCAGTGGAAATAATTTGCTATTCCTTCCAATGGGAAAGATTTTTAGTATAGGCCTGTCAGTTGACAATGTCAGTTCTAAAAACCAGCCTATATAAATTCAGAAACATCATGTTGGTTAACATGGGGTGGTTATGTTGGATATAGCAATTTCTGTTGACCATCTACCATGATCTTGCTTAGTGGAAAGTGCACTTGCATCGATGAAATAATCGATGCTTGATGTATTAGAATGAATAAACTGTTCATTGTTATTTTTATAGTCCAACATTTCTTGTTTAAGGGATCTTGAGAAACTCTTTGATCATTTTTCTGCAAAATATGTATTAAGGTTGCAATATTCTTAGAACACTTCATACATAACAGTTAAATGTTGGCATCTCTGTTACATTTGAGGAAACTGAAAAGACAGTAAAGTACTTGCCTAAAGTTAGAGTTCAGACAGTACTCTGGCTCTCTTCATATTTCATAGCTCTAACTTTTTTTTGTCAGATGTTTCTTAAGTAGATAATTTAATTATAGAACATTATAATCATTTTGATATTGATGCTAAGTTCCATGGAAGGTAGGAACAAGGAAAAAGATGACAAAAAAGTTTAGTTCAGATGTTACCAATTTAAGGTGTAGAATCATAACTTAGAAGTCATAAGGCTCTATTCTTAAGTCAAAACCAAATGTTGTACCAGCACATCGGAGGAGTAGCCCTTTTATCGAAGGTTGCTTGGAGACTTCTGTGACTGGGAGCTCTTTGCCTAATGGCTGAGCAGCCAGCTGTGAATGCTCATGAACACTAGATGGCATACATTCAATGCAGCAACTGAAAACTTGATTTTAAAACTGAATAAAATGAGTAAAAACGCTCGTAGAAATGAGGTACATTCATTTTTTAGAGTGTGGTCAAAAACAAAAACAAAAAAAAAACTTGAGAAACAATGTTCTGGCTTCTGGAAACTGGGAAAGTTTTTGTTTATTTTTATTAATTGGGGGCTGTTGGTTTTTTAGAGTTGAGATTTTTTTTTTAAGCCACTGTAGGAAAATGCTTCCTAGAGAAGGTCATATAATTTATAACTCATTAGGACTTAAAAAATGTTTATATCATATGTACCACATGCCAATAAAGTTTGTGTGGTAATAATTTAGATACAACTTTTGAAAATTTCTCTTTTTAGTGATACAATTTCCCTTCAGAATAATCATATGGATGCTGCTGTGAATTGTCAACTGATTTTAGTCCCACTTACAACATAAATCACTTAAGCAAATTATTTTAACCCTTTCATATGTCAGGTTCTTCATTTTTAATCTGGTGATACCACTAGTCACAGAATAATGGCCTTGTTAAGTATATGTGAGATGTTACCTCTAAAAGAATGTTGCTCATTTAGAAAGGTATCATATTACTCTAAGATTACATCACTGTTATCATCACCATTCTATCAACAAGCAGTTATTAAGTGCTTATTATATATAAGATACTCTCCTGGGTGATCCAAAACTGTGAAAGAATCCCTGCATTCTAACAGAGGAGACAACATGCATAAGTATATGTTAATTAAATACAAAGAGAATAAAAACAAATAAAATATAGTACTTCATCTTTATAATAAACTACTTTAGTTAGAAGAACCACAAAGTTGTTTTGTTTTTGTTTTTTTTAATCACCAGGGTGATTGGTTGTTTTTGCTTCCACAGTGCAGAGTTCTTTGCTAGACTTCTTTTATGCATTCAAAGAAATAAAACACATGATCCATGACTTCAAGGAGCTCATAATCTAATTGAGCAAGTAAAATAGAAACAAATATGTAAAACAGTAAATGTAAATGCTAAATTTGGAAAGGACAACCAGTGAGTGCTCATTTCTTCCCATCGTAAGAGTCACTGAATAATTATTTTACTCTTTTCTAACTTAGAAAAGAATATGATTTTAGTCTTATCTAGCCCAGGAGGCTATTTTCCTTACATGGGAATAATATAATAATCCATATCCTTGGTAATGATAATGAATTGTTGATGTCATTTTTATTTTCTTGTTGCTATTTTTTTTTCTTCTTATAGCCTCACGTAGCCTGCCATCCCAGCATATTCAGAATTGTTGATGAAATTTTTCGGTAAGTGTCATTTAATGTTTTTTGGGCACTTAATCTAAAACAGTCAGTTTTAAAACTAAATTTCAATGACTGACGAGAATAACTTCACACCTGACATTTAGAGTTTAAGTCCTTTTAATATTTTTCTGTACTAGCTTTTTCCTCTATTGAGAAAAATACATCCAAAGAAGATATAGGAAATAATCATATTCAGAACAGAAATTTGGAATTTTGAATTGTAAACTTAAGCTTTATTTAAGATATCTGTCTTGTTATTTGCTTTTGTGATTCTATTGATAATGTCAAAGCAGTATTGGATTAATTCACTATGGGAGTTTCTCAGTTCAGAATACTGGGAAGCAGTGTGTTCAGTTCACCACATGGGGGCCAACCATTCATTATGAGCTGATTTAAAGTCTAAGAAAAACCTTTAGACCATAATTGTGCTGATTTTGTTACAGCATTCTTCTGAAAGGAAAACAAGCCATGTGTATAACCTTAAAATTCATGAGCTGTATTTCTTCAGACTGTTCTGCTAATAGAAAAATTAAGTTTCAGTTGTCTTAGTTCCTTGGAAAGTGAATTAGGTCTCCCAGTATAAATTGCAGAGATCAGGTGATCACTGGCATGGCTAGATTATTACTGTTTATTTGGGGGAAGGGCGGGGTGGTTAATCTGATGTCTTGAGACTGAACTGAGGGTAGGAGGTTCTGATCACCTTTATAGTATTTAAAGACAATCCTTTATGTATCAACTGACTTTCTAGAATATAGTTAAGACGTTGGATATTGCTTCTAAAAGTTCTGCCCCTCAACAAAGGAGCTGATATATCTAATGGTAATAAGATCCCACTTATAAAGATTGTATATTCTAAATGAAAATTTTTAAATAAGAAAAGGAACAAAAAACCTTTTGAGTGTAGTTGTGAATTAGATTGATGTTTTAGATAAAGGCATATAGAAATAATAAAACAAAATGTTACTGTTAATTAAAGGCAAACTTCTTACTTTGATTATACATATTTACAGTGGTTCATTTTTTAAAGGAATTCAAAATAGAGGAGTTGGATTGGGGCAACAAACTTGGTAATCAAAGACCTAATTGCTTCACCTAGATTTTTTTATTTACTTGTGTGCAGGTCACTTTGGCTATTTGGGTTTTGTTTCTCAGTTTACAAAGTTAGTAATACTTAAAGTTGCCTGTCTTTTCATCATTGTTAATTGAATGAAGGATCTTGAAATATGTATGATAAAGCTCATCATGAATTACCAAAAAAAAGCACAGAAATAAAGCTATGCCTAACAGGATTTTAGGAAGTTTTTAGGAAATCTGATGAATTGAAGTACTTCAAAGCATAAAAAGAATATTTTCACTATTTTCCCCTCTTCAGTTAATGCCAGTGTGACTTATTAAATAATCAAACCTGTCATAATTTGATTTTACAATACTTAGGAACGCACTACTGGAAACCAATGGAACATCAGAAGTATTGACCATTATACAAATATTTACACGATGCTTTGCTCAAGCCTTCCAGAAAGATAATGAACAGGTTTGTGACATTGTATTATTTCCCTAATTATCAAAAAAGTTTTATTTTCAGTGTTACTGGTGGACTATAGTGTCACAGAGAAGGCAGTTAAATGAATGCATCCATTGAAAGCAAAGCCATTTTAGTGAAGATGCTTTTTTGTCAATCTCCTACCTTCATAGCTAGAGATACTTCTCCACCATTGTGGCGGGAACAGTGCACTATGTAAGTACTCGTTTACATGGAGGATATTGTTTCCTGTGATTTCTTCTTGTGTCTGCTGATCTCAAACAAGCTCATTTGAACTCTCCTTCTCCAACATTAGGAATTCTTTGATCTACCTAGAGAGTGCTTTTTGAGTATGTACCATTCATATTGGAAAGCACTACTGGAAATTCTCAATTAAATTTGTTAATAATCATTCCTCATGCATTTAACTGTAGACATCAAGCTAAATGAGAAATGCTAATAGTAACAAAGAATTAAGTTCAAATGAGTACTAAGCCCCCTCAAGTCAAATTCAGATAACAGATGACCAAGAAAAGTAATAGAGGCCAAAGTATGAATGCCCTTTAGGGAGAATTACACTAGAGAACCCCATTAGCAGAGAAGTGACCAGAAAGCAGGTACACAAGAAGGAGTAACCATAAAAGGCAAGACCACTCCCTATTTAACTTACAGTTTCCTTTAATTTCTGGGAACTTACTTGGCCTTTCTTTTATCTATAACATTCACTTTGATAAATACAGAAACACAGATGCAAGCACATATATAAATTTATACTAGGTGTCCCAAAAGTCTTAGTGCAGTTTTAAGTTTTAATAGCCTAAATACCACTACTAGGTTTATATTCCAAAGATATCTCTTTCCCTCTTCCCCCCCAAAAAAGAAAAGGAACCTATATGTATAAAAAATAATTATAGCAGCTTTTTGTGGTGGCAAAGAATTAGAAATTAAGGAGATGCCCTTAAATTGGGGAATAGTTGAACAAGTTGTGGTATATGCTTGTGATGGAATGCTATTGCGCTATAAGAAATGATAAACAGAATGCTTTCCACAAAATCTGGAAAGACTTACATGAACTGATGCAAAATTAAGTAAGCAGAACCAGGAGAACATTGTACAAAGTAATAGCAGTATTTTACAGTGAACAATTGTGAATGACTTAGCAATACAAAGATCTATGACAGTTCCAAAGGATCTATGATGAAAAATGTTATCCACCTGTAGAGAAAGAACTGATTGAATCTGAATGCAGATTGAAGCATACTGTTGTTTTTGTTTTGTTTTTTACTTTATTTTTTTCTTTTTTTTTGTCTGTGTTTACTTTCACAACATAACCAGTATGGAAATATGTTTTGCATTATTGCACATGTATAACCTTCATCAAATTGCTTGCATTCTCAATGAAGGGAAGGGAGGGATGGTGGGAGAGAGTTTGGAACTCAAAATTGTAAAAAACAAAGGTTAAAAATTGTTTTTACATGTGATTGGAAAAAATATTAAACCTTAAGAAAACAGGTTTTAATAGCTTAATTTGATAGATTGATGGATGAAATTTGCATCTAGGTCTCTTGCTGCTTTTTTCAAAATGAGAGTTCAGATCTACCTATCACCAAAATGCATGCACTTTGCATTTTCAGAATCTTTTTTGGTCATGGAAACCTTCACATTCCTTGTGTCAGATATCATGATCTTACTTATGAAGGACAGGACACCTAATCAGCACTTAATCAGTTCAATTCTGCCCAAGAAACACTGCCAAACGTGCTCCAAAGAAACCTTTTGAGATTATAGCAGATTTTCCTGACTGATTCATATTATCTCAGCCTTTCTTACCCTCAGGGTAGGAGTGCTAAAACTCTTTTGTGCATGAATTCCATAAGCAGTCTGGTGAGGCCTGTGGATTCCTTGTTAGAATAATGTTGGTTTTTTCCCTCCCAGTGGCATTTTTGTCTTTTTTTCCCCTCATAAATTAATTATTTATTTTTAGTTTTCAGCATTCACTTCCATAAGATTTAGAGTTCCAAATTTTCTCCCTATCTCTCACCTCCCTTTACCCCAAGACGACACGTAAATTGACATAGGCTCAGCATATACATAGAATAATGTTTTTAAATGCATAAAATAAAATTCATAGAATTTAAAAGGAAACTAATTATGTTGAAATACATTTGTCAAAATATATTTTTTAAATAGTTGGTGAACACCAGGTTAAAAACCCTTAAATTAGGAAAAAAGGTAACCAGTAGCAAAGTGTCATAATTCTTATCCAAATCAGAATTTAGAAGGAACAATCCAAAAATTTGGGCCTGAAAATGACTGTTAAACTTACTTTTAAAAAACTCTCTCTAAATTATTTTTATCTTTCCTTATACATACTTTGAATTTCCAGTTAGGAAATAAGGTCTGGAAAATCTCTCCCTTTTAACTTTTCTATAACAGCAAATTTGTTAAGCACTTTATGAAGAGCACAATATTAGACTTTGGAGATGTAAAAATGAAATAGTCCCTGCCCGTAAACTTAAATTATCTAGAGGGAAGGGCAACATTATTTACATTGATGAGTAGGTAACAGGTAATTTTAAGAGTGAAATAGCACTGAGAAGTGGGACACTCAAGAAAAAGTTTTGTATGGAACAGGATACGTGAGCTATTCCTTAGAGAGGCAAAGGGGACATGCATTCCCAGCATGGGAGATAGCCTGTGTCTTTACACCCCTGTTAGGCCTGGGATGGAGACTTTCATAAATTGACAGTGTGAGAGAATGTGGAGAAGCCTAGCTCCCCCCATCATCTCAGAACAGCAAAAAATGCAACAAATTAATTACCAACCCCCCCCACTTAATTACAAAATTAATTACCCCCCCAAAAAAAAGTGAAGGGAAAGGAAAGAAATCCTCATAGATTGAGAAATTAGGCAAACAAAGTAAAACTCTTAATTTAAGAAAGAAATATCCTAGGGCAAAAACGCCAGGAGAAAATTTCAGAGGAAGAGGATAATTCTTAATGGATAGCACCATGAGCACCGGGAGAGATCCAGTCTTACAAAAGAATTTAAGAAGACGACTCAAAATGTAAAATTAGAGGTCTTGATTAAGAACTCAGAAGGAAAATTTCAGAACAGGTGTTAGCCTCTCAAAAGGAGTGAACCTCTTTGAAAAAAATGATAGAGGAGAGAGAACTCAAAAATTCAATGATGCAACAAGAATTATTAGAGCACTCAAAAGATAAACCCAAGGTTTAACTTAGCCAGGAATGTTACTGCTAAACTCCAGAGCTCTCATGCCAGAGAGAAAACATTAAAAACCCCAGAGATCTTATACCAACCGAGTCTATCAAAATCACTTATGATTATGCATCATCAGTGTGAAATTAAGGAAGATTAGATTATGTTATGCCAAATAGCAAATGAAAATGACCCCTAATAATAATTTATTCTACAAAATTGAACATAATCTTATGGGTGAGAATTGACTGTTTAACAGTATTAATGACTTTCGTGCTTACCTTTTGAGTTGAGTAAAGTCTGAAATGTAAATAAAGAGAACAGAAGAAATTAGGGAAGGCTAAAAAAAGTTTCAATAACATGAAAGGAATAGTATGCTTACATTCTGAAAAGGGGAGAAATTACTATTGTCCCTGGCGAATCCTGCTTTATCTAAATGTCTCTGATTAAACAAAAAGAGAAGTTCTGTTCTTAGGGGTTTAATGAGAAGTACTCCTAGTGAAAGGAAGCAGCTAGGTGGCTCAGTGGATAGTGCACTGGCTAGAGTCAGGAAGACCTGAGTTCACATCTGGCCTCAGACATTTACCAGTGTGTGACCCTGGGCAAGTCACTTGATCTTTGCCTTAATCCTCTGAAGAAAGACATTGCAAAAGACAAGTATCTTTGCACAGAAACCCCATGCACAGTATGGTCTATGGGGTTATGAAGAGATGAACATGACTGAATGACTGAACAGCAACCCCTACTAAAAGAGAGTCAGAGGAGAAAAAGGAAATTCATATTTTTAAAAAATTTTATTCCGAATTTAATGAACACCCCTATGTGAGAAACAAATATTTGTTATTTGTCTATTACATATAGCTTACTTTAAAAAAAAAAAAAAAAGTTTTTTCATGTCACTTGCAGAGCAGTCTTGCTTGCCTGTTTCCTTCCAAACTTCCTTTAGTTTTCTTTTATATATCTTTCAAAAATGCTTCAGTGACTTTTTTTCTTTTGGGGGTGAAGGGTCAATCCAAATTGTTTCCTCCTCAATTATAAAAAAGAAAAAGAAAAATGGGAAAAAAGGATTGTTAATCCTTGTAATGAACATAAACAAGAAAAATAAATCCACATCATTTTCTGTGTTCAAAAACGTATGAGTTATTCCACACTTAGAGGCTGTCATCCCTCTTTCAGTGGGTGGCTAGCATGCTTCTTCATCAGTCCTTTGGAGTTATTGGCCATTGCATTGTTCAGAGTTCTTAAGTCTTTCAAAGCGGTTTTGATATCTATATATCTATATCTATATCTATATCTATATATAGATATATACACACATACATATATGTGTATATATATACATTATATATGTGTGTGTGTGTATATATATATACACATACATACATATTTGAAGCCATCTTATTTTGTCATTTCTTAGGGCATAATAATTATACCATAATTTGTTAAACCATTTTCCCATTCCCTTAGTTTGTAGCTTTTTACTATAAAAGTGCTGCTATAAATACATTTTTACATATGGGTCTATCTCCTCTTTCTGTGTTCTCTTTGGAGTAAGGCTCAGTGTCATTAGGTCAAAGTATACATGTAGGTTGATGACTTTTGGGGGACATAATTCCAAATTGCTTTCCAGAATGCCTAAATCATTTCATAGCTCTGTCAAGAGTGCATTAATGTACCTGTTTTCCCACAGTTCCTCTTGCATTTTTCATTTTCCTTTTATGTCTGATAGGTGTGAGCTAGAACCTTAGAAGTCTTTTAATGTGCATTTCTCTAATAGTGACTTGGATCACTTT